TTTTTTAATTTAGACTAAAACAGGGTTAGACGATGACGTAATGGACACACGGGATAGAATATGCAATCAAACGTTACCACGTTGTACAGGATGGCAACTTACCCCTGATCGTCTCCGAAGAGATCCCTTAGGTTAGTGGGAATAAATGAACAAACAAGGCAATTACTATGACAACAGCAAATATTATGGGATAACATCATTATATATAGGCATTCAATTAACAAAGTACCAAATCATCAGCACTGTTTTTTTTTTTTTTTTCTTTTTTTCTTTATTTATTAATTTTTTTAATTTTGACACCAAAATAAAAAGGTAGTTTGAACTCGCCTGGATAGAAAATTATTATAAATCAGAATATTTTAAATTTTTTTTGCTAAAATTAAAGGTTTATAAATTATTAATAATAATATCATACAGGAAGGGAATGCATTCACTGCATGCAGGGAGACTTGGGACTTGACCATTTCATAGAGGGGGGATTAGAGAGATTTTGAGGGATAATTGCTGCAACTGTTTTTTCCCAAATTCTAATGAAAACAAAACAAATTTGCATGCAACTTTTTTTCATATTTAGCGAAAAATGATGAAGATCAACAGGTAATAAAGAGTGATTAAAAAAAATTAAAAAGAAACAAAAAAAAACACAGAGAATGTTTCTAATGTTGCAAGGAAAGAACAAGTTGTTCAATGGGCTAACGTCACATAACAATTTTTATTTATTTTTATTTTACCCCCTTCTCTCATCCTTGTCCTTCCACTCTCAGAGAATGGAATGGCCACACCAATTTGTTGTAAAGAAATCACAAGGCAAGCATGCACAAATTATTACTCATAAAAACAACTTCTGTAGTCCTTAAATGGTATTCCTGAAAATTACCATATTAGAATCAACCAATCGAGATGAGCAATACATAACCACCAAACAAACTAATGAAAGACATTTTATGATTGAAGGAAACATCAACCAATCAGAAAAGATATACCAATTTATGCTATTTTTTTCTGAGCATGCTCAGTAACTCACCTCTTTACTTCCAGGTTGTGCAGCTTTGAGAAGGTGCGAGAATGCACCCACAAGTTTTCGAGTTGCATCCAATAACTTTTGGCCTTGTCCATCGACATCATCTCCTAAAAGCGCTGACAACAATTTCACGCTTTTTGCCAACTCTGGAAGATTAGAAGAACTGGAAAACAACATTTTAATTTGTCAGTAAATCAAATGACTTGACCACAAAAAAAGTTTGATTGTTTATATTTGATAATTCCTTTAGAATGAGTTTGTAGAATCTTCTGCGTTGACGCGAAATTGCCACGACTGGCATGACATGTAAGCTGCCAACCAATAAGAATAGGAAATTCTTGGCCCGATCCGTTCTATGCAACTATAACACGTAGAATTCTTAGCACAAGCGCATACCAACTTTCATGACATCCTACACACAAGTGCACATCTACCTTCCTTTCTAGTGTTCTACTGGGTTTCATGACATCATTGCATATCATGAATAATTAATAGCAATGAATATGTCTCAGAATAGACCAGTCGTGGTAATTTCGTATCGGACCATGATTTAAGACTAAGCCAGTAAAAGAGTTGTATTTTCTCCATACATGCTTACAGACAATTGTTTTTAAGCTTGATAAGTTCTGGGAGGTGAAATATCTACGATAGACTGATTTGGAAATAAATTGCTTCGCATAACACATTATTCTCCATCAACGTGCAAAGTTTAATTTGATATTTTTTCGGCAGAATTTCTGAGGAAATGCTTCATATGCGCAGAAAAAGCAGAGACAGTAATCAGAATATCTATCAGCTCTTCTTAAATGGAAACTTATTAGTGATTTGTCAAAAGTACGATATTTTACCCAGTTTGAAATATTCTGTAAATATGCAGAAAA